CCCCGCCCAACTCCGGCCACAAACTACTCCCATAGTAGGTGCTGTAAGGGCGCCAGGTTTAGATCAGGGCAGCCCACCCTGCTAATTCATGGATGGGGAACGTGTGTAGCTGGAGCCTTGGACCTTTCTTCTGGCCTTGCCAGAGGACTCCAGCTCACCGCCTTGGCAGTCCCTCTTGGCTCTTGGCGGTGGCACGTGGGCAGGAGGCTGTGCTCTGATCGGCACTAGTGAGTCTGTGTTCTGACTGCTGGTCTGGTTTGGTGGCCAGTCAGAATCCAGTGCCCACATATTGTGTATGTGTTGATAAATAGATTCATTCTAAACTTTCCAAATTGATTCCCATTAACAATGCTCAGGTTTTAAAGTTTGGTGTTCTTTTGAGTCTTTTCTTCTTATGTAACCTCTTAACAAAGCTTATAGATATTATAGTCATGAGCCAAGCCAACCATTACTCCACCAGGATCTACGTATGCCTTTGAGCTGGGTTCTCAAACTGTCTTTGAGCACCCTTCACCAAAGCTTACCTGGCTGAGCTCCAGGCCTGATGCCCCAGCCGAGCACCCTTCTCAGCTTGGAGGGCGTCTCCGCAGGGAGCGAGGGGGTCTCCGCAGGGAGGGGCCGGCTGACCGATGCCCCTCTTACTCCTATCCGTGAATCGAACCTTAGATCCCAGCTCCTGCCACCAGTTGAACACCTCGAACTAGTCACAATTATTCATCAACGGAATAAGTGCCTTTATTTGTGGTATTTTTTTTCTAGCCTTTTTTTTTTTTTTTTAAGTCTCCTAGTTGTAGTAAAGAAAAAGTTAATTTTAATCAAGCTCCAGTACAGCTGTGTCAAAATCCAGTTAAGGGATTGACTTTACTGATGGTATTCCCTTTGTGTTCTATACGTGATATTATAAACTAACTTGAAAATTAGGATATTCATTGTTCCCTACTTTTATCATAAGTAAAGTCTACTACCTTCTTAAGAATAGGAAATTGCCATTTCAGAAGAGATTATGGTTTTATCTTGTGAAGGAGTTATCTTAGTCTCTGTTGGCTTATTCCAAGAAAGATATGAAATACCTTCAAAATCTCTTCTGTGCTCACTCTCAGAACCTGTACGCTTTTATTCTTGAAATGTATAATAGATTGGAAGTATCAGTCACTTATTCAAAAATTAAAAAAAATCTTTTTCTTCTTCATAGCTGTGAAGAGAACCAAGGAAAATCCTTTCAGCCATCTTTCCCTTTTTTTTACCCACAGGAACACTCAAAAACAATTGAACCCCAAAGATGGCAATCTTAGAAAGCAGCTGTTGTTCCTGGGAGGTGAGCCACTTTGTTCCTGCAGGGGCTAAGCTGCAGTGTAGTAAGAACCCGAGTGGGAGTGCCTTTTTAAACGCATACAGAGTTCTCTCTTTCACTTGGGTCTGCCCCCTACCTTTCCTTTCCAGAGCCCCGAGGCACATTAGGTATTCAGCTGACTCAACAGAGGTAGCTAACGTGGCTGTGGCCGTGCTGGGAGGGCACCGTGCTGGGACGGAAGGGACAGGAGAGCCAGGTAGACCTGGGTCACCACCAGGCTCAGGCCTGCCTGCCCAGCGGCAGCGGAAGATAAGATGAAGTGATAAGAAACTTCCTAACAATTTAAAGAAGATTATGTAAAGTACCTGGTGCTTAGTTTTCAGTAAAAGTACATTTCAGATTCATTCCTAGTTTAAAAGGTCTTTCAATTTGAAGTAGTGATTTAGCACTTTTTAAATAGAAAAGTAGTTTGTGTCCCCAGCAATTGACTTAAAAATTACCTTGGGTTGGTTGATATTTGTTAGGTGGTCTAAGGTGTTCTCTCCACCTTTTTGCAAAAAAAAAAAAAAAAAAAAAAAAAAAAAATTCTTGGAGTTTGATCTTCTGGTATAAGGTTTTTTTGTTTTTGTTTTTGTTTTTGTTTTTTTTTTTAAGTGACAAAGCTGGTAACCTATTGAGTGTAAGTTCAGAAGCATCTTAAATAGGTGATTTGGGGGTTATCTGATATAGGCGATTTTTCTTAAAAAAAAAAAAGTGTTGGCAATGTAACCAAAATAATTGCTGCTTGGAATGTTCTGTAATTAGACATGTAAATTAGGTGATGGCCTGTGAAGCAGGACCACATGAAGAAGTGCCTGCCACTAGAAGATCCACATGAAGGTTACGATTTTAGAGTTCGATAAACAACCGAAACATGTTCCCCTTTTTAACTCTAAAAAGCCAGGTGCTTTGCCGAATGCTATTTAAATTTGAATCCTGCACTTAACATCTGTAGTAAAATTAGACATTTTTGTCATTTTAATTTTTATCTCAAAAGCGGTTTTCACTAAATTTTAAAGTGCCACTTATGCTGCGAGTCTTTAAGAAGCTTTAAAAACTAAGTGTGTACCTAGAGCCCTTTAAGAATCATACAGGTAAATCCTACTTACCAGCCATGAGTGAGCGTGTGTGGCCTATGGTCATGAGGTTTACAGGTCTGATTCAACCAGTTATATTGCACAAACTTTGCAGGAAATTATTGTTGCCAAGAGTTCTGTGGCAGTTTGATAATAAACTACACCAGTATTCTTAGGACCTGTGTTATGAAGCTTTCTCCTTCTTATGTGTGTTTTATTTCAATAGATGCCTCTCAAATAGGGGGAATCAAGCCATAAATTTGCATTTGCTGGACATGATACACCATGTCATTGCTGTGACTACAACCTTCAAAGATATTTATCCACAATTGCACTGTAACAGTGACCAATATAATGTGAAAAACTTGCTTCCTCCAGTGCTGCTGATGGTTGGGCAAAGACAAGTGCTTCTTGCCGCTGTTTTTAAAGCTAGGCAAGTACTGGAGTGGTGGAACTGTAAGCTCCAGGAGAGCCGGTGGCCATCCTGTCTTCATTCTTGCATATAGGCACTCAATAAATATTTGTGGATATGAACTGTCTTGCGATGTTAGTGTATTTATTTCTGCCGGGTAACCATGGGGTCTGCTTTTTGATGGTAGTAAGGCCTCTGAGTTTATGGGTTTGGGTGTAATCATGGCAAGGTTACAATGGTATGCAGGTGCTCAGTTCTGAGTGGCTGACGGGCAAAGGGCCTCACTGGAGATCTGCGTGTGCTCCTAAAATCTTCCTCAGTGGGTCTCAAAGGCACATCGTGGTGGAGGGAAGGTGAGAGTTTGGTGTTCGATGGGTCACCTTCTCTTGTCTCAGAGGGATTGTCATAAGGTCACAACATGGGTATTTTAAGGAGAGTTCTGTAATGATGGCTTTCCTGGCCTAGTCCCCAATTCTGACAGTGACCAAGGGGATGAGCAGCCTTTGGTGGTTTTGCTCTCTCTTTGTCTCAACAGAGTCTTGGACTGCTTTAATTTTAGCACTTGCCCTTTCAGAGGAAAGCACTCCTTTCAACTGCAGAAGGTGATATACTTGGTGATAGGGAAGCTGGGTTTTAGGTGTGCCCATTTAATTCTATGACTTCAGATCTTGGCAAGCAAGTCCATTCTTGCTCAGTCTAAATACACACTTCACGATTTCTTTTAAATTGCACCCACTACCCTCTTGGTCTCTTTGTTTACGACTGGAGAGTCCAACC